ACATTCTGTCCTGGGCGCTCTCCTCGTGCGGCCTGCTCCAGCAGTGCTCCTGTTCGTTTCCTTCCACTGCTGTTTTGTCCTGATGATTTTCAAACAAGTATCTGTAACCTCAGTTTTCTGCTGGCCTTCCAGGTGTTTCCTATTGCCTACTAAATCTCTCACGCATCCACACTGACCTACCCTATAGCATCCCTTTGAGAATCAGTTCTCTGTATCACTGCACACTGGAATGTAGGCTCCCTGAGACCGGAGACCAGGGTTATTTTTTTCCCTGTTATATTCCCAGTTCTTGGCAAGGCCTCACATAGAGCACATGCTCAGCAAATACTTGTAGAATTAATCAGTGATTAAGATTTCAAAATGAAACCCATGGTATTCTCCCAGAAAACACTGAATCTTCTCTATTCTCCATTTCAGCTTGTGGCAGGACCACTAGCCTCATCCACCTGTCAACCAGAAAACTGACATGCACAGTGGTTTCCTCTTTCTGCTTCACCCTCCACATCCTGTCACGCCTTCCTTTCATTTTCTCCTCAGTGTCATTCGTTCATTGCCAGATACTTATCAAAGGCTGTAGGATAGGCTAGTAAAAACGGGGCGGGGGGGGGGGGGACACTGCACTGACCCCTGCCTTCAGGTCCTCCTGTGACATTCCTGCTGCCTCTCACCCTCCTCTCCACCGCCCCCCCCACCCAGTCTCAGACATTCTTGACTCCCTTCCTGCCCACCCACCCCACCCCCACCTCTCCACTGGCCCCTTGAGCTAGCACCATTCCATTTTCTCACCCAGCTCAGTATAGTCAACACAACCAATATTTGAAGACCACACAGAGGACTTCACATTACCTACAGAATAAAATTCCAGCATTCTAGCATCATGGAGTAGGTTTCTCTTGCTGCTGTAACAAATTACCTGAAACTGGCTTAACACAAATGTATTGTATTACACCTCTGTATGTCATAAGTCTGACATGAGAGTCACTGAGTCAAATCAAAGTGTTGGCAGGGCTGTGTTCCTTTCTGGAGGCTCTGCATAGGAAAAGGCTTTCCTTGTCTTTTGCAGCTCCTACAGGCTGCCCACATTCCTCAGCTTGCAACCTCTTTCATGTTACAGAAGTGAGTTGATGACTCCTCACGGGGCATCACTTTAAGTGTTCCACTTGCCAGTTCCACTTGTAAGGACCCCTGTGATTCCACTGGACACCCCTCCCCCTGATAATCTAGTTTTATCTCCCCATCTTAAGGCCAGCTGATTTGGAGCGTTAATTCCATATGCAGTCATAACTCTCCTTTGCCATGTCATATTCACAGGTCCCAGCAAGTAGGGTGTGAATGCCCTTGGGGGGACCGTTACTGTGCCTACCATGTACAGTCTCCATTTCCTCTCACAATTTGGCACTAACTTACCTTTTTAACCTCATTTTCAAGCACTTCGTCCAACTATCTAGCATGCTTTGCCTCTGTGCTCTTTCCTGCGATGCTCTCCCCTTCCCGTGGCTCTCTACCCTTTCTTCCTAGCACCTGCCTATTTAGAGCCTACTTCACATTTACCACCTCTGTGATACCATCCATTTTCTCGTGTTCCCTTGTGTGTGCATGTAACATGCAGGACTCTAGCTAAATGAAGTCGGAAGCATACACTAATGGAGACACTCTTGCTTGCACACCAGAGAAAATTTTGAATGAGCTTACCTATCGCCATGTACAGCTGAGAACAAGGTTAGAGCAGGAGAATAGTGTCTGTAGCAGACCCAAATAAGTCAATCAAGACTCTTTCCTCAGCACCTTCTTTTTTTTTTTTTGTTTTTTTTTTTAATTTTTTTTTTTATTATTTATTTACGATAGTCACAGAGAGAGAGAGAGAGAGAGGCAGGCAGAGACACAGGCAGAGGGAGAAGCAGGCTCCATGCACCGGGAGCCCGACGTGGGATTCGATCCCGGGTCTCCAGGATTGCGCCCTGGGCCAAAGGCAGGCGCCAAACTGCTGCGCCACCCAGGGATCCCTCCTCAGCACCTTCTGTGCCAAGTTGGCCTCCTTCTTGCCTCTCAGTGGCCTTCTCTGTGAGAATGGGGAGAAATGGGAGTGGGAAGAGGGAATGTCCCGAGTTTATATTTCACTCTACCTGGCAACATCAAAGGATTGGGCCATGTGTCCAAGCTTTGACCAACCATATGATGAGGGAAGTGGCCATTATGGTCGACTAAGCCTGGGTCTTATATGCACCCCTTCCACTCCGGAGCTTTTGGGGGGTGCTGGGATCATGACTGGCTGCCTCAGGTGGTTGAAAATTGTGGAAAAGTAACTCCCCCAGAGGGTGGGGGTCAGCAGGGCAGGGTGCTGGGCAGATAGCTGAGGCAAAATGAAGGAAGCACTAAAACAAAGAAACAAAGTGTTCTAGGAGCACCACAGAAAGAGCACATTGGGAAGCATAGGATGCCATGCACAGGACCAAATGATCTGGGATTCTTTGATTTCGAGAAGGCAATATACGGTAAAATGTTTAAAGCCATGAAACAGAGGAGTGACATGATCCAGCTATTTAGAATGAGAACTCTGATGCCCAGGGAGATGGAGCAATGGATCCATTCTTAAATAATGACTATTTCATAAAGACCTACTACATAGTATTAAGGAATGCTAAGAAAGGGATAGATCCAGGACTGTCCACAATGGTGCATAATTGTAGGGAGTGGGAATTAGAGATCAAAGGTCTCCACCCCACGTGACTGGGAAGACAGCATAACCAGATAAAAGGGGAAGCCAAGACAAGGGATAGACTTGGCCAGGTTGTCAGTTTTAGCTTGAGAAACATTAAATTTGAGATGTGGTCAGGAAACCCATAAGATATTTCATAGGCAGTTAGAAATCCAGAGAAGAAACCAGGATTAAATAGTTCTATTTGGAAGTAGAAAAGAAATAGTAGTTTAAGTCTTTCCCAAAATGTGGGATACATATACTTGTTCAAGAGATGAATTTAGGGGCAGCCTGAGTGGCCCAGCGGTTTGGCGCTGCCTTCAGCCTGGCGCGTGATTCTGGAGACCCGGGATCGGGTCCCATGTCAGCCTCTCTGCGTGGAGCCTGCTTCTCGCTCTGCCTGTGTATTTGCCTCTCTCTGTCTCTCTTTGTGTCTCTCATGAATAAATAAAATCTTAAAAAAAAAAGATGAATATAGGTAACACATGGACTCTGAACTGAGTAACATTGAAGCAAGTCATATTTCTCTTTACTGTCAGGAGAAGCACTTAGTTTGCTTTTAGGGTCCTGATGGGCCCTCTGGTATATGCTGCTCCCCCACTTGCCCAGGCTTCGGGCTCCGCTTCCTATAGGCAACAGTTTCACATCACACTGTTGTCCATTGATGGTAATGACAGTTTACTTTCAAAATAAACATATTAAACAAAGTCTTTTGGAAATTACATAATAGTACAGGTGGCACATATACATCACAGAAATAGTGATGGTGGGATGCAAAGTGACTGAAGTTTAGGGAACATCTACACAAGCCAAAGTGGGTGAGATTGTGCAAGCAGAGCATAGAGCCAGAAGGACAAGATCAGGACTTTGGGGAATGTCATCTAAGAGATAGAGAAACCCCAGGAAAAGAGGATGGTCAGAGGTAGAACCTAGTTCTTAGGGGAGAAAAAGCCAAAGGAAGTGTGCGTTTCAAGATGTTGTCAAATGCTTGAGTTGATTGAGATTTAGAACCAGGAAAAGTTGTTAGACTTAACTAAATCTGCAGACTTTTGGAAGTTTCAGAGGAGTTGTAATATGCAACTTCCAAGGGCTAAAGAATAAACGGGGTAACAGGGTGATGAAGTAGAAGGAAGAATGTGTCTGTCTACTCAGAGATGAAAGTGGAAGAGGGTTGGGACAGCACCTTGAAGACAGAAGCAAGCCTGAGGATGAGTGTGTTTATAGACTAAGATGGAGCAGCCAAAAGAGAAGCAAGGGAAGGAGGAAAGGAGGCAGTGTTCTAAGCATTTACAGGGTGGCCATAAAGGCTGGGAACATGGCAAATATATGCTTATGATTGTGGTTCCATATGTTCTCATTGAGGCGGTTTAATGATCTGTACAATCATTACAAGTACATACAGCACACGAACGCATTTCCATCAATCCCCAACATGCATCTGTGAGGATTGTCTGAGATTTCCAGACCAAACCCACACCCTCGGCATGCCCCGTAAGTAATCAGGGGAAGTCAAACTTAAAAAAAAAAGTTTCCAGACTTTCCAAGTTCCAAAAGAAAATGAGATACAGGGATCAAGGAGGTAGAACTACCGGTGGTCACATCCAAGTCTTAAATTCAAAGATTCTGTTTTCTGGGGGCACCTGGCTGGCTTGTTCTGTAAAGATGCGACTCTTGATCTTGGGGTCATGAGTTTGAGCCCCACATTGGGTGTAGTAGAGGTTACATAAAATCTTTTAAAAAATCCCAAAGACTCTGTTTTCTGTGACCCCACCCCCACCAACATGTGGTGGAGGCATCAGAACTCAGCTCTGCAGTCTAGCACTGAGAGCAGTACCAACTAGTGGCACATGTGCAGCAGCTCAAGTGGTACAGAACCCTGGGGGTTTGCACAGAACTTGAAGAACTATAGAAGGTAATCATTGTTTTTGTCATCTATAGGGCATGTTTTGGCCACAGCACATGTTTCAAGTTTGCCCTTCTTAAGTACTACACTCCCAGGGGCAGGTCCCAAAAACAAGGACTCAAAACTTTTTTATATCTTCTATTCAAAATCTTAATGTAAGAGCATCAGTAGGCAAAGTACTTCTTGCAGTTAATCCATACATTACAAAATGTCTCTAGGTGGACTCACAAGAGGCAGGTACTGCTGGCAAGTGGCCACGGTAACGAAGAGCAAGAATTGAAGGATAAATTCTCACCGTGTACCTACTTTAGACCTTTCAAATTTTGAAGTGTGCCGTTAACTTATTTCTTAAACTTGTTTAAGTGTAAATACAAGAGATTTCCTAAGGTTTTTCTAACGCAGGTCATGAATGAAAAACTTCAGCACTGTATGGAGCTGACAGATCTAATGCGGAATCACCTGACTGAGAAGAGGGCGCTCCGCCTGGAGTGGATGATTGTCATCCTCATCACCATCGAGGTAAATAGCTTTTTAAAATGAAAGTAAGAGCACCTGGCTGGCTCAGTGGAGTGTGCAACTCTTGATCTCAGGGTTCTGAGTTCAAGCCTCAAATTGGGTGTAGAGATGACTTAAACATTAAAAATATAAAAAAAAAAAAAAAAGTTTTTTGACGTAGAAAATGACAGTGGAAAAGAGCATGGCTTTGTTCTGATTACTAAGTATATTTGGAAGTGAGGTTAAGTTTCAAGTGACTATGGTAATATTGCAAATGCATGAAGTGTGATTTCTGGAGAAGTTCCATTTTTAAAGACAGCATATAGAGAAAGTTCTAGCTGCATATTTTTCATGTACGACCCAGCAGCAAGTATCTTTGCCTCAGATCTGCAGCTTGCCGTATGGGAAAGACTTTAGGAGCATTTTTCATTAATCACAATTTTGGAAAAGTCATTTTTAGTTTTTACCAGTGGCTTGCTATGAAATTTAATAAATCTCACTTTTTACCACCCTAAGGTAATGTTTGAGCTGGGACGAGTATTTTTCTGATCAAGTGATAATCAGAGAAGAGTTAACAGTACAAGAGATATTCAAGTTCTACAATCAAAAATAAATGCTCACTGTTGGGGAAATCTCTTAATAGGTATTTAATTTTTTTAAATCAAGAAGTTATGATGATCTTTTTCAGCTCCTAAATGTATTGCTGCTTGAATAAAAAATATGAATTATCTGGTGTTTGGGTCTTTAACACTGAGAATTTTAAAGGAAGATATTTTAAAGAACTATAGAAAGCTTAGCACCTAGGATATGCAGGCAGATACTTATTAAAGCCAAAAGGCTTATATTTTGGACACTACCTCTCAGCTGTCTCCAAGAAATATCAATCCCAGCCTAGGAGAGCCAAATAGGAAACTCTGGACTGTTGAAATAAATACAGGACAGGTTTGTGATGACTAGAATGGATTTTATATACGTACTTTGGATGGCATAATTTCAGTATGGCTGCTCACTGGCACTTCTCCCTTTATTAATCAGGACTATCCATACTTTTACTACCAACCTAGTCAAAATATTCTTCCCACACATTTTTTTTGCTTCACACATACTTTCGGGAAATGAAAAAATGCCAAGAACAAAGAACTTGACATTTATGTGCTTACCATCTTGAATTGATGAACATTTTTAAAAAGCAAAGTCCTTTTGGGGCACATGTGTGGCACAGTTGGTTAAGCTCCTAACTCTTGGTCTTGGCTCAGATATGATCTCAGGGTCATGAGATCCAGCCCCATCTTGGGCTTAAGACTCTCCCTCTTCCCCCTACGCTCTTAACATCTCTAAAATAAGTCTTTAAAAAGCAGATTCCTTATCTTCATTTTTATGCATAACCTCCACTTGCCTCACCATTAAATATTCTATTTTTTTTCATGCATTATAGTTGACCCTTGAATGGGGGGGGGGCAGGGGCTAGACATACTCACCCCCCACAGTTGAAAATCTCTATAACTTTACTCCACCAAAACTTAACTACCAGCCTGTCAACCAGAAGCCTTACTAATAAGTCAATTAACACATTTCTTGTATTTTTACTGTATTCTTACAATAAGGCAAGTTGGAAAAAGGTTGAGAAATGCATTTACATACTGTATGTATGGGAAAAAAATCCACCTGCATATGAATGGAACTGTGAAACTCAATAAAACCTGTTGTTCAAGGTTTATATCCATGAAAACAGTATTACTGTTCTAACTTGATAACTTATTTTGCAACTTAACTGCTACACACTATTTCACAAAGAAAATATACATATACCTATACCCTTACCAGATTTACATATTTATTTGCTCTAATAGTGCAAAGGTAAACATCTTAGTACCATTTTCATTTTTAGCACAGTGCCAGAGTTTGATTAGCAGTCTGCTAAAACACCTATATCCTAAATCGTAAGACTTCCCTAGGAACACGTGGGCATGCAGAGTTCAAGTAATGCATTCTAGATCTTTAAGTTCCACAGAAGCACTTTTATATAAAGCTGCTATGCCTGTATACACACCTGCAGCCAATGTATGAAGCCTGAAGCCTGTTCTCCCCTTTCACATCTTCCCTTCTCACCCAATCTTCAATGTTAGTTTGGTCCGCTATATTTAAAAACCTGTAAGTGTATTTAACCAATATCTAAAAATTTTGGGGAAGCCAACAGGAAGACAATTTGAAATAACTGGTCAACAAAGCTTTCTAATTTCATAGGAACCATATAAGCCCCCACCTATTAAGAGGGGCATTTCTAATAAAGTTTTACTCTAAGTATCATATGTACATTTGCTGTGTCAACTGTGTGTTAATTATAACAATTTTAACAAAATATGAACATTTGGTGTCTTATGGTCATTGCAAAACCTAACATTTCAACTTATATACAAATATGCCACAAAAAACAAAAGGATAATCAGTAAGACCTTCAAGCAAAAATTTATTAGGTAAACATTTTGTGGGAGGAATTAACAGTTTTTCAAGAAGAAAAAAGGAACAGTTAAGTATGAATTGTTTACTTATGTTTATTAAAACAATCATGGCAGACACTCATTATGGTATTACATTCTACTAGATATATTAATGACAAATACCTTTATTTTTAAATACCAATACTTAATGATTCATCAGAAACTGCATCTTTTTCAAATCCTTAAATTATGAAAAAGCTTCAACGTAAAAAAAAAACCTCTTTCCTAGAACTTGATTTTATTTACTGGAAAGAAAGAGAACACAAGCGGGGGGGGGGGGGGTGACAGGAGAGGGAGAAGCAGACCCCTGCTGAGCAGGGAGCCCAATACAGGGCTTGAACCCAGCACCCTGGGATCATGATGTGAGCTAAAGGCACCCAGGTGCCCCAGTGGTTTTATTTTTTCTTTTAATTATTTTAGGTGTAACAGAAGAAAATTTTTCATGATCACAACTTCTTTAACAACAAAATGAGAAATCCTACCAGAAGACTAAGGAAAGCCTAAAGTATCTTCACCTTGGTGAAGCACTCCTCAAAGTGGTATCAAATTTCTATCACTCATGAGAGGAGTGACTAAGACCAACCTAGATTTGCATTCCTCACCACCACCTACTAGCTCTATCACCTTGGGCAAATCACTGAACCTCTCTGGGTCTAAGTCTCTTAATCTGTAAAATGGTTTTAACAGTACCACTACCTCAGAGAGCTGCTGTGAGGATTAATGGAATTAACACATGTGAAGCTACCAGTTTACTGTTATTACAAACCATCTGAGTATAAAATCTACTGGATTCTGAAATAAAACAAGTTGACTATTCAGTGCATGCCCCAAAAGGCTTTTAAACTCTACATATTTTGTATGTACCAGGCAGCTGCCAATAGGCATTCTGGAGTGCCGCCTTCAGATAATCACAGCAGTCAGAAACAGGAATATTTTTACATATAAAATTAATATACTGCTTCTACTCTCAAACATTTTTTTTACAAAACTTAATCATATTCACCTATTTTTAATTCCAAAGTGTGGTGCTCAGACCAATTCCCCAGCAAACATTTAGGTGCCCCTGATTTATATTCTTGTGTTTTGCAATCAGGATTTCTGAGGCTGCAACTAAGGAATATTTTTTTACAACTCTCCAAGAGATTCCCATACTCCCTATACTGAGAAGCAAAGATACAGATTTTTCAGTAATTCATTAATGAGCACCTTCTTGTTCCATTTAATGTACTAAGTACTGAATCTCCTCAGGTAATTCCTTTTCTTTCCCTACCCCAATCTCCTCATGCTCTCCTCTCCCTGCCTTTACAAACTTTATGTGTGGGGCCCTTGCTGTGAGATGATGAAGATGAGCAGAGGAAGCTTTTCCAAATACTTCCAATCCAAGCCTATCAACTTTCAATTTTCCACTTATTATGAATTGCCATGTTTAAAATTAGTTTTAAGGCCACTATTCCAAATTCCCTTTCCTTATGGGACCTTTCCTCAGGGATTTAAGGGAACAGGATTTTTTAAAGGCCACATTTTTTTCACTCCTTCTGCACAATTTGAAACATAGATTTAAATGTTATCTTTAAAAAGCAAAATGCTTCAGAGCACCAGGGTGGCTCAGTCGGTTAGATGTTCAACTCTTGGTTTCTGCTCAGGTTCTAACCTCATGAGTAATGGCATAGAGCCCTGGCATCAGGCTCCATGCTCAGGGGGAGTCCACTTGGATATTCTCTCCCTTTGCCCTTTTCCTGTGCCGTGCCTGCGTGCTCTTTCCAAATAAATAAATCTTTAAAAAATTTTAAAAATAAAAAACAAAATGTTTCAACATGTCCTAGACTGTTATGACAGAATAGGCTGGAAAGCACACAACTGTAAAACCTAGTCACAGAGACCCTTTTTTTCATGTAATACAACAAATACTCAAGATGTGCTACTCTACGCTCCAAAATATAGTTGGCAGAGATCATGAAAAGGGCTCCTACTTTCATGAAGCTTACATTTAAATGAAAGTTGTAGGACAAGTAAACAACTAATCTACTTAAAGATAGCAGATGTTCCACAAAGAAATCTCTGAAAAAATCAGGAAAGGTGAACACAACAGTTAAACTAAAGAACCTAAAATTTACGTGCAATTTAGACAGCACTAGAACTGAAAAGAAGCCCAAAACAGGAGAGATCCTGGTAAGTATGAATTTGACTTTCAATCTAGCTTTTTTTTTTTTTTAAGACTTATTTATTTATTCATGAGAGACAGAGAGAGAGAGAGAGAAGAGGGCAGAGACACAGGCAGAGGGAGAAGCAGGCTCCATGAAGGGAGCCTGAATGGGGACTCGATCTCGGGTCTCCAGGATCACGCCCTGTGCCGAAAGCGGCGTTAAACCACTGAGCCACCCAGGCTGCCCCTAATCTAAGCTTCAATACACAAGTCTTAAAAACCTGCTTACAAGAATTTAATACTGCTAATACAGAAATATGTAACTTGACTACTTCTTGAACTCATCACACAAAGACAGAGGGCAACAAACCAACAAAAAAATGAATTCCAGTCAAATCTAAGCCACCAAACATTCGTCTTTAAATTCAGAGTATTGATCTTAATCTAAAAAGTCTCATGTGGTTTAGGTTCTGGTTACCTTAGAGATTTTGACTCTAAGCACTCTGATGGCAAGTATGATTAGTTTGAATACTTGTCCTGTGGTTCACTAATGAAATCTGATAAACTGGAATCCTCAAATTTTATATGGTTCTTTCAGATCCTGGATTTCCTGGCACTGAGAGGTTTCCTGCAGCAGCCAGACTTCCAGTGGTAGGCTAGGGAAGACCTGAGCAAAGCAGCCAGCTGATTATCCTAGCTTCAGACCACATTTTAGAAATTAATGTTTAGACAACTTTTTCACAGGACTCTCCTGCCACTCGCAGATCTTTAATATGGATAAACTACTAAAAATAGGAATCTAGGGGATCCCTGGGTGGCTCAGCGGTTTAGCGCTGCCTTCAGCCCTGGGCATGATCCTGGAATCCCAGGATCGAGTCCCACATTCAGACTCCCTGAATGAAGCCTGCTTCTCCCTCTGCTTATATCTCTCTGCCTCTCTCTCTCTCTCTCGCTGTGTCTCTCATGAATAAATAAAATCTTTTAATAAATAATAAAAATGGGAATCTCCCCCACCAGTGATCAATCCCTTTCATAAAGAAAAACAAGTGGGTATCATACACAGACACAGTTACCAGGGGAAGTAGTGTTTCCCTGTAAATTTCGTCACTGATTTCACTTTCAAACATAAAAATCCCAAGTCAAACACAATTCTATGAACAAAAATTCAGATGCAGATTTCTAAGAAAGATTTCTAAATTAAAATAAATGTCTTAAAAATCAGTTGTGACTACTGAGATTCATGTTACAATTTGGAGTCCTTCACCCAATTTGGCTGGGGAAAGAAGCCAAGGCTACATATTACACAACTCCATTTATAAAACATGCTAAGAGACAAAAATGATGATGGAGAACAAATCAGTGGCTGTCGGGGATATCAAGTGGGAGGAGGTTAAGTATACAAAAAGACAGCATGGGCAAGTTTTTTGAAAGTGGTAGAAGTGATCTGTATTCTAACTGATGGTAGTTACACATATATTTATCTATGTTACTTCAAAGAACTATACACCAAAAGAAAAAATTTCACTGTATAATTTTAAAAATTTCTTTCATCAGTGATTACTTCAAAAATACCTTAATGACCTTATCATGTACTGAGGTACTGTGCTAAGCCCCCTTACATACATTCTTATTTTATAGGCACACAAACCTGAGAGATAAATATTATCCCTATTTGAGTAAAAACAAAAACAAAACACTGAGGCTCAGAAGTGAACATGCCCAAAAGCCAAACTACTTAAGGTTACAGAGCAGGATTCCAACCTAGATTTGACTGCAAAGCCTATATTCTTCATCAATGTAAATATCCTATACTCTCTCCCCTCTAGTCATAAATACCAACCACTCTGTCTCTTCCAATGATGTCAGAAAGCTATTAAATTTACTCATTCTATTCCTAACTCAATACATTATAATAAAGTGAAAATATGCAGATGAGCAAAACATGATTCTAGAGCAGCACAGTCCAAGAGAACTTTCTGCAACAATTGAAATGTTCTGTATCTGTGTTGTCCAATAGGTAGCCTATATCCACATGTGGCTAGTGTGACATTAATTTGCAAAGGCATGTGTGGCTAGTAGCTAACTGCATTGGACAGCACACTTCTAGAGAAGTAACTTAAAAAGAACATGCGTGAGAGAGAAAAAAGCAACTTCTCAAAATATGGCAACTCAACAATAAAACAATTAAAGGTAGATGTATAATAAAGGAGTAAAGGTGAGAAATGCACAACCACTTGGGGCACCTGGGTGGCTTAGTCAGTTAAGCGTCCAACTCGATTTCAGCTCAGGTCATGATCTCAGGATCGTCGGGCTCTGAGCTCATCGTGGAGTCAGCTTGTCCCTAACCCTCTGTTCCTCCCCGCGCTTGCTCTCGCTCTCTCAAATAAATAAAGGAAGGAAAGAAGGAAATGCACAACCAAACAGGTCACAAAACTAAGTCTATTTTTCAAACATCTACTCACCCTTCAAGATTCAGTTTAAATACCAACTTTATTTATACTACCATTACACTTCAAATATGTGTATATAAAGAACAAACTGTATATAATGTATATGACTGTGTTTTCCGCCACTGGACTGTGAATATCTTAAGGACAGATATTAACATATATATCACCAGCACCTCCCACCTGTATCCAAAGGCTTTGTACAATAAACATTTTTTCATTCAGTTCTAGTGGGAAAAATTATCTTGTTAGGTCCCTCAACTACAAATGCAATTCTGCAAGCATTTGAGTACCAGCAATATATAGGAAAGATAAGTCCCTGTAAAAAATTTACAGTGGGGATGGGAGTTACAAGACACAGGTAAACAACAAGAGCAATCACGTAAGTATAATGCACATAAGCATGTGCTTCATGGCTTGCTTGAAGAGAAACTGGAAAGCAGTTTAAGAACAAAGCAGCTATTGTCAATTCTGCAATAGCAGAGGTGTAAGAAAATTTACTGTATCCCTAACCTATTACTCAGGAAAGTCTACTGGATTTAAAAGAAAAAAGTTACGGGAGGCCTTCAAAATTTATCCTGGCTCTACTCACATTATCCATGTATATCAGGGTCCCATCCTACTCCTTTATACCACAAAGAAAAAACCGGTCTTAGAACAAATCTTACTAGATCCAAAGTTTCTATGACTGTCTCACAGCAGAAAGTGGTATCCATTTCTTTCATACTCAAACCCTGATTATCTTTGTTATAATACCTTCTTTTAGGTCCTAGAAATGTGCTATCTGGAATAGTTACAGATTACAGTCTCCAGGTCGGTATATATGCAGCATCTGGAGGTAACAGTAAGTAAAGTCCTTCAGAGCAGCCCGGTTTAACAGGCTCAGCGGTTTAACGCTGCCTTCAGCCCAGGGCATGATCCTGGAGTCCCGGGATCGAGTCCCACATCAGGCTCCCTGCATGGAGCCTGAGCCTGCTTCTCCCTCTGCCTCTTTCTCTGTGTCTCTCATGAATAAATAAACAAAATATTTTTTAAAATATTTAAAAATAAATTCATTCATTTAAATCCTTTAAATTCATAAGTATATTTTGTTTCCTCTAAAAATCAACGGGAAGGCGGTACTGGTATGAGGAGTCTGCAAATTCACAGACATCAGGTATTATCTGTAGGCCAAGTAAACTGAAAGTATTACTATCATGTAGAAGTTTGCAAACCACGAGACTAGGAAAAAACAGTTCTATACTGTAACTTCTTTATATATTTAAAAATCACTAACAAGTTTTCTCATCTTAATCAGCACACACATCATTCATGACAAAAAAAAAATAAACAGAAAAATCTGTTTAATGTTCCTACACTGAATGGCCATGTGCTGGCTAATTACTTAACTTCTTTGAGCCTCCCTTCTCAAATTTAAGATTGAGGGCGTGAGACTAAAAGCCCTCAGAGAAAAAAACTGACTTAATTAACTAAGATAATTACTTACAGATTGACTTCAACAAGGCTTCTGGTTCAATCCTAATTCACCCATAAACAGGAAAAATACAGAACTGTGGTAGTTATTAAAATATGTCATAAATTCTTTGATACTCCACCCTTCAAGATATGGAATTTAATTCCACTGCCCTTGGCTGTAGGCTGGACTTAAGTGACTTTCTTTTAACTAACAGCATGTGGCAGTGGTGTGGCTTCCTCCTTGCTCTAGCTTGTACTGAGGGAGACAAACTACCATGTTGTGAGGACACTCAAGCAGTCTGTTTGAGAACTAAGACCTGCCGATGCCAGCATTAACCTGCCAGAGATTAACATGCTTCCAGCCACCTTGGAAGCAAATCCTCCAGCCCAGTCAACATTCTGACTGTAACCTCATGAAAGACCCTAACCCAGAACCACCACGCTATCCTAGTCCAGATTCCTGGCCCACAGAAACTGTATGAGATAAGCAAATGTTTATTATTTTAAGCCATGAAGTTTTGGGATAATCTGTAATAGCAAGAAAAATAATCTACCAACCAGTGTTTTTCAAAAAGTGGACCTTGATTCATTTAAACCACCAATTTTTTTTAAGTTAGAAAAAAATACATTCTATAACTCAGCATAACAAGTACTATTTTCTGAAAACTGCTTACACTTTATGTATGTGTACCAGGTAGCATTGAATAAAACGTACATCTTAGAATTATAACCAAAAAGATTTGAAACCCCAAAGCCAACACTAATGGGATTAAAACAAAAAGTCCTCTAAAGTATATAGAATCCTTGAGGGAATATGGACTCAGTAACAACCACCTATAAAATATGATTTCTTACAAACTTTATAACCAAATCAATGAAATATAAGACACTCTCAATATCTTTTCTTATATTTTAAACTTGATATAAAACACAGAGGGCATGGTAGACTTAAGCATGTAAAATCATGTCATTTTCCTAATTCAAGAGGTTACTCAGGAGGACATCCTTCTAAAATTATGTAGTGAAAAAGCTGCTTTGGGATCTACCCACATCTATTACTTCCCCGATTACTTTTATCGGTTCAAGGAAACTCCATCTTCCATCTGAGCACAAATTTTTGCAAAAAAAAAAAAAAAAAGTAAGTACAATACTATTAAATTGCTTTCTGCCCACTGTCCAAGTCTCACTGGAATTATCCTCTTCAGAACAAAAGCAAGTGCCTACTTTTCTAATTGTATTTCAGCATAACATGCATCAAAACTTTCAGCAGCACATGACTGTAGAATATTTATACATAACTCAACATTTGATGAATCCACTTAGATTATTTGCTTACACTGTGATTTTCTTTGAAGTAAAATGTGTGAAACTATTTTTGAACTCCTAATTTACCAAATTTATTTTCAAAATACCAAAATAAGTCAGTACATAAGCACTAAAGAGATGATTTAACTTCTGATTTTTCTTATAACTGAACTCAGGGCATTTGTGGCTCTCCCACCACCAGACAGCTTTCCTTGTCCCAATGCTGAAATACACTACTAGTTCTTTCTTTACAAGGACTCTTTTCTCCCCAACCTTTATATATATATCCACCTAAATATTCCACTTCAGCAAGTCGCAGAAAGCAGATATAATCTGTACAGCATTCTTTATAATGCTATTACTTAGCATACTTGGCAAAATTCAAGTAGGCATGCCTATGCCTTGAGAACACTGGCAGCAGAGCAGCCCCGTTCTAAAGTCAAGAGCAGCAGCTTCTGAAGAGAAGACTAGGATGCTCCTGACAGCACTTTCTCTAGGAATGTGATCCAGGGTTTCAGGAATAACCCTAGTTTATTTCTGTAAAACTATGTAAGAGTACAGTACTGAGAAACTATTCACTAGTCTTAAGAGAAAGTAGTTACTTTGAGACTCATGGCCAATTACTCTAGACACAATGGCTAAAACTAACCCAAAACTTTAGCATCAGTTTTGTCCACTTTTTTTTTTTTTTTTTGTCCACTTTTTCCTTTAGTTTCCCTCAAGTCAGTTCACTCTCCATGTAGGCACTCCCATCAGACCATAAACTTGAAAGTTCACAGTCAAGGTCTAAAAGAATTAAGAACCCAAAGATCTCTAACTATGACTGTGTACCAATCAGAATCACTTTAGTTTCCAAGTAAGAGGAAACAGACTTCAACTGCAGAGCCAATCCAAGGAACCTGGCATGCCAGTCTGAAGGCCAACTTTGATGTGTTAGTGATAGTGCACTAGGAATACTTGTATCAGAGTCAGAATTTAGTTTTGCAGGCAGACATTTAACCACTCAAGTCATTTATCTAGCTGATCAAAGAGTAAGAAAGTTCAAGGCAGGTATGTATGAAATCTATTATTCACTTTTGGACCACTAAAGTTACACAGCTGCTTATTTTGTCTTCAAAGAAGGAGGAATTAGTCATCGGTAGCCCTGGCTGTAACTGGATTACTAAATCAAACTCAGATTTTTAGGAGGGGACACTTCTGTATGTCAAAGTAACTGTCTTAAGATATTACGCTTACCTTAAGTATTTTGGGAAATATGTGCCAGATCTCTTTGCTAAAGTCTGGCTCTGTAAACCAAAATGGGTTCAACATCAAATTAAGGAACTTCTAGCTGAATTGCATGCTTTAAAACCAAAGCGAATCCTGGAAACTGCTACCTCCATTTCCTTAACAATCAAGCCATATTCTTTTTAAATCTCCCCAAATCCTAACTGTGTAAAACACAGAAATCATTATATCCAGTCCTCAAAAATTGTACTTCCAAAGAC